TCTCATAAGTGGTTTAGTTAAGCTAACTAATGCTCTGATAAACTTATACCCAAATTACTTTATTTTGACATAATATCATACTTCCTTGTTTAAGTAGGAAAGTCTGTGAAATTAAACTAAGTTGTTTATACCTAACTCTCTTATAAGGCCTTAGTCTTATACTTGACGTAACTGAAATAAGTCTAATGTTATGATTCAACAGGGACAAATTACGTAAGTTGTTCACTTCAATTATAAGAGATCTCCTTAGTTAACATGTGTGACAACATATTAGTTGTTAATATATGTATGTTGAGATGTTGATTATCAATAAGTTGATTGTTGTATGTTATCGTTGCTTTAATTGTATTGTATGTTTTTTCTTTTGTAAACTTACCCTTTCTTTTCTTGTATTCTGATAGTCATTTTTTAGTAATCCTCAACCGACTCTATGAAAGACATTATAAATGTCTATAGGTAATTTACCCTCATCTTCCGAGCTTCATCTTTGTCCTCGGGTAGAACTCCTGCCTTCAAATAGTTCCAAATACCTGTCGTCCATCCTTGCTCTTCGTTGTCGCCGGTGTAGACGACCTTGTCGTCCAAGCTGGGTGAATGTAGGGTCTCCTGGATGATGGTCCGGTGTTGTCCAGGACGCTTTGTGTTGGCGAGCTTGGATAGGAGGTCGGCTCTTGCGTTTTGCTCCCGGGGTACATGGTGGATTTTGAACTCGTCGAAAGAAGAGATTCGTTGGGTGGGTAGGTGAAAATACCTCTGCAGTAGGGTGTCCTTGGTCTGGTATGCCCCACTGAGCTGTTCCACCATGAATTTTGAGTCGCTGTTGCAACTCACTTTCCGTGCTCCGAGATCACGGGCTAACCTTAGCCTTGCGAGAAGTGCCTCGTACTCTGCTTGGTTGTTCGTCACCTTGAAACCGAACTTGAGGGACTGCTCCAAAGTGACTCGGTTTGGTCCTTCCAAAATGATACCTGCACCACCACCCTTAGAATTGGAGGACCCATCAACATACAAAGTCCATACATGTGTTTCCTTAACCGAGGTTGGTGTAAGCTCGGCCACGAAGTCGGCTAAACATTGAGCTTTCAAAGCGCCGTGGCTTTCGTACTGGATGCCGAACTCGGACAATTCGACCGACCATGCTATCATTCGCTTGGCGAGTTGTGGCTTTCGCAGGGTTTGCTTGATTGGGTAGTCGGTCTTGACTATCACTTTATGACTCTAGAAATAAGGTCGGAGGCGCCGAGCTGAGGTAACAAGTGCCAGTGCTAGTTTCTCGATCATCTGGTACCGTTTCTCCGTATCCTAGAGTACTCGGCTGATAAAGTAGATTGGTGTTTGCACTTTCTGGTGCTCTTGTACTATAACTGCGCTGATAGCGCTTTCAACTACGGCCAAGTAGAGGAGGAGGTCGGTTTTGTGATCCAGCCTTTGTAAGATGGGTGGGGTTGTGAGGAAGGCTTTGAAGCTTTTGAAAGCCTCTTCGCACCGGTCCGTCCATTCAAAATTTTGCAACTTACGCAGGAGGGTGAAGATGGGCCCCGCTCTCTCCGCCAGCCTGGGGATAAAACGGGATAAGGAAACCAACCTTCCCGCCAAGCGTTGGACTTCTTTCACAGTTTGAGGGCTCTGCATTTGGATGATGGCTTTGCACTTCTCCGGGTTGGCCTTGATTCCCCTGTTAGTGATCATGAATCCGAGGAACTTACCTCCTTGGACGCCGAAGACGCATTTTTCTGGGTTGAGACGCATGTTGTGTCTCCTGATCTGGCTGAACACCTCGGCAAGGTCGCCAGCATGACCGTCGGCCGAGGTGGTTTTGACCACCATGTCATCAACGTAGACCTCCATGTTCCTCCCGATCTGCTGGTGGAAAACCTTGTCCATCAGTCGCTAGTAAGTGGCCCCTGCGTTCTTAAGACCGAAGGGCATCACTTGGTAGCAGTAGTTGACATGATCGGTGATGAATGATGTGTGCACTTCGTCTGGTGGGTACATCATAATCTGGTTGTATCCAGAGTAAGCATCAAGGAAATTGAGGAGGGCATGCCCGGATGCTCCGTTGACCAGCATGTCGATGCTCGGCAAGGGGTACAAGTCCTTGGGGCATGCTTTGTTTAGGTCGGTGTAGTCGACGCACATGGGCCACTTCAAATTTTCATCTTCACAAAAAAAATATGATTAGTAAAGATATTATTTTCAAAATCAATTACAATGAGTCAATGATCTTAGTAAAGACATTGATAAATTTTTCTGCACATATGTTATTTTTTAGAAGCTAATGTATTTTTTCCCTTTATTCTTTTAATTACTTTTACCTATTATAATTCAAATAAAAACCTTATTTTAAAACAAATGAAATTAGTCTGATTCAAATCTTTCAATTTTTTCTTTTTAACCAAATCTTACAACTCAATATCTTTTTTTAAAAAAACTTACTGTCACTTTTGTATGTACAAATCATTTTATTTAAGGCTAATTACTACAGTAATCACGTTGTATTCTTGCATTTTTAATTGATGAATTTATATATAGTGTTGCTAGATTTTTCCAATTTGACCTTTCTATTTTGCTGCCAACTCATTACATGTCCTTCACTTCAATTTTTTCTTATTCGATTCAATTAAGATGTGAAATAATGTTTATAATCAATTTGTTCCTGTTGTGTTGTTGACTTTCTACCTATTCTACATTTTTAGTCTTAAACTTTTCGTAGCTTCATAACTTTATCATATTTCCTTGCATTTGAGATAATAGTTGTATTGATGTATGCATTTCCTTTAGAATAAATGAGAATATAGGTGATATTTCATAAGTTATCATGTTGTATTGATTTAGGGAGTAGTTTTCTTTTTTTATTGGGTTATTATTAAATGTTACATTTATTTTAAATTTCTGTTTTATGTTTTCAATTTCATTTCGAAGGCCAAATAATCTTTGTTATTTGGTTTTCAATTATATGTGATGAATCAACTTCTTATTCACTTTTAATTTAATGTCTGATTTCATAATATTTAATAATCAGGATGGAAGGATTCATGTAACAGTTTCCTTGTGTTTCACTTTTTTCAGTTTTCTAATTGAAACATGAAGATAAAAACAAAATATTGTTTCATATTTTATTAATTTTATCTTTTAAAGTTTATTATAAAATTTCTAAATATAAAACTATTTTATAATTATTTAAAAATATTCTATAAAGATATATTGTAATATTAATTATATTTATGTGTTTACACAGTGACGGATCCAGGAATTCTAAGTAGTGGGGGCAATATTTAAATACATAAATTTATCCAAATATAAAATAAAATTTCTATAAAGACAAATACATATCATAATTGTTCTCTATGAATTTTCATAGTTTGAAATCATTGAATGATTTGCTCATTTTCAATACTATCAAAAACCTCTCTCCATATATATAAGTAACTAAACAATTATTTAACTACTCATCTCCCATACGATTTCGCATCCAATTCTTGATGATATTCAGAGCAGAAAAAGCTCTTTCAACGATGCAGTTGCCACTGGTAGTATAAAAAATAACTCTAAAAGCAAATATATCAATGGATATACAACATATTTTCTTGTCTCCACAAACTTCATAGAAAGATACCAATCCCTTCTAATTTTGAAAAAGCACTGTCAAAACATACATCTATGAAATAATTTTCAAGTTGGTTATATAATGTAATGTTCATAACATACAATGTTTCTTCTAAACATAAAAATAGAATGAGTAAATAAAAATTAAAATACTGAATTTCTCATTGAAAATAAATAAAAATTCAAATAAAGTAATATAAAAACAATAACTTTAAATACAATAACCTCAAAGATCACTTTAAATGTATAGTTTAGCTATTAAATATATATCATACATTTTACTTAATGCATATTTTTGTTTCTACTTAACGTTGATTTTCAATTATAATGCGATAACTTATCGAGTCACTACAATTTAAAACATTTTCTTTTGTAAAATCAATATTTAAAATTCATTTTATTATAATTAAAAGTATATAATATCTAAACTATCAAACATAACTTTATTTAGGACATAAATTCTATTAATAATATTCATGACATCTCAAAAATTATATAATTATTTCATTCACGTTTTATAAATTATAGTATCAACATTCCTATATAAAAAAACAAAAAAAAACAAAAAAAAAACAAATGAATCTCATTTTTGCCTTAATTATAAGAAAGATATAATTACTTTTAAATATATTAATTGATGTGTTTTATACTTTTATTTAGTATATTAGTTATCTACTTTTAATAAAAGTTATATATTTATTATACAATTAACAAAGTCATGCTCATATCATTAAATACAATTACAACTAACACTAGTTAATTTTATAGATGTCTTTATCATAAAGTTTTTAAGTTATGACATTATTAATTACAATTAATTTAACTATGTTTTGATGAATTAAGTTTTTTTTCTTTAATATAGAAAGATAATATACTAAAAAAAATCTTTCAAATGATGTTCAATAAATTACAGTCCTGTGCAAAATATTTCCTAATTTTTATTATAACCTATTACAATCCTTCAATTTTATAAAAATATTTCTTATTTAATTTAAAACATAAAACATTCTATAAACTAGTTTTTCCCAGAATATTATCATTTATGACAAATCAAATCTTTATTTATTTACAAATGTTAAGTTTGAATAACAAAATTATTGATTACTCTAATTATAAGACATACATACATACACAACCATACAGAGTAGATTACAAACTTACACAACAGTTGGGAGTGTCTTTACCATGTTACTGCACTCAAATATGACATTTTCTGACTAACAGCTGCCCTACCATAGTGGGTTATTGTATAATAATAATAGTAATAATAAGGATTTTTAAAAAAACAAAATTATAGGTAATCATAAAATTAGTATTACACAACTAAATTCATGTCCATGAAGCAAAGCTACAACTAATAGCTTCAGTTTTAAAGCGAATAAGCACATCCAAAATCAGTAGCAAACACATGCTTAAACTCATCATTCAGTTTTATAGTAATTTGAATTCCTAGAACTGATCAGTTGATGCTATATTGTTATTTGAATTCTTCAACATGCAATCTCTAGATGAATGTAAAGTAACACTCCAAATCGCTTCATTACTACTGACTAAGAATCAATTAAAGAAAAATAGTCAATTAGAAGGCATTTTACCATGTCACCTAGACAATGATAGAAAATATTATCACATCAACAGAAGTAGGTAGCATGTTATCGTCCTGCGCCTCATAACGGTTGATATATTTATATCAACCATGTTTATCGTCTGCCCTCAACACCGTACATTCAACCAAGCCTCTCAAAGAAATAAAGATACCCCATTTCCTTGGGAGGATTAATGGAAGCCCCAACCTTGTCGTCGTTGAAAATAACCCATCTACCATCTTTTAATACATGAGCAACATAGTGACCACACAGTGTAGAGGTTCCACTGTGACTTACAATTCCCATAAGTCGATATCCTGTAATGCCAAATGTTAAATAATAAAATCAGATTATCAATAAAAACAATTTTCACACCCCACCATCCAACCCAACAAAAATTAGATTAAATCTTTAGAAGAAAATGATTTTCACTTTGCGTAACATAGAAGAAAAATTGTGTGATACAACAATTACCAATTTTTTTCTTTTAATTCTGAATAAAAGGATCAATAAAACCAACGGCAAGCTATGTTAGAGAAGATAAATGCAACTTACTCCCTCCTCCATCAGGTAGGTCAACATCATTGGGAGTGGATGCAGTGTTTGAAGTGGTAGCATCCATATTGGTGACCGATGCATCAGGATTGTTAAATATCCAATCTGTTGCTTTCTCAATGTCATCACCCTATAAAACAATTATTTTCAATTATTTAGTTAAATATTCCAGCAAAATTTATAAAAAAATCTTATATTCCAAATACAGTCATGGGAGGGGAAAAATAAATTACCGAGGCCTTCAATGCCATTCGAGCAATTTCTTCTTGAAAACCAAACGAAATTAGTGTATCAACTTTTGACTGGTCAACAATTGTTTCAGAGCCATGGCCTTTGGAAATAGGAATGTCAATATCTACACACAAAAAAAAAAATCATTCAACATTATATCATGCATTATGAGGTAACTAGCAAACAAGTTTATATATATATATATATATATATATTCATCTACCTGGATCATTCATGTGAGACAGTAACCAATTCATTGCCTCTTCTACTCCAATGTTCGATGTATTGATTG